CAAGAATAATATGCACTAAAAGAAATATCATAGAATATTTTGCAATAAATCTCATATATCTCCAATATCCAGAAGATTAGATAATAATATTTTCAATAATAATGAAGCTATCAAGAATAAAATATATTCTAAAGTAGATTTAGGTAATGAATATAAAAAACTTTTAATCAAAACATATCTCAATAATATTTGGAAGTCAGTTCATTCTATTAAAAATGATATAGAATATGAAATTTTTAAAAAACTTTATATTATTGAATATGAATTAAGTTGTATAAATAAAGTAAAGCTATCATGGATAAAATCTGAGATAAAAATTATTTATTCAGCTTTAATTCAGAATTTATGGATTCAGACTAGTGTGATCTTAATTTGATAAAATTCTAAAGAAATCATATTCATATTAAAAAGAAAAAGGTTAACTCTTCTATTTAAAAATATTATAAAAATAAGCATATTAATTATATTCACATTTCAGAGTAGTAATTCATTCAATCAGAATAATCATACTATAATACATAATAAAAATATATTCATTATATTATATTATAATAGATTTCAGGAGAGTGATATCATGTGTTTTTAATTTGCAAATCAGAGATCAGTATAGAAGTTTGTGGAATATGTATAGCTAGTAATAGAAAAATAGTTGATTTATTAATAATATATTATTTTATATCTGAAATAATCATTATATAATCTATTTTGGGATATATTACAAGTATAGAATTAATTTTTCAGTATTACTATATATTATAATATCAAGTTAAGTTAGCTAATAATACATTAATATTTGAAATCAATAGTTTATGTCCTTATAGATATGATTTGAATTAAATTCTGATATTTATTTATATAACAATAAAGATGATAAGTTTTTTCATTATAATATTCATCACTACTTTAAAAATTCTCTATATAATTTCTTATGTTTTCTTTTTTATGATTTTTATTACATAAAGAATAGGATACTGATCTATTAAAATTAAAGTAATTATTTTTAAAACTATGTTTCAGAGTTAAATAAGAAAATCATTTTAATACTATTTTAATAATATATTTTTATTTCTCTTCTAAATCTTTAGGTAAAATAGAAATTAGAAATCATTTAGATGATATGCATTGAATATTTACCTGTAGTATAAATAAAATCTTTTTCTTAAAAGATTCAGAGTTTATCCAGGAATCAAGTTCAGTTTTATCTGTATATCTTTCATATAAAATATTATAAAACTCATCTGTCAATAGACTTGGTAGATCAATTAGTTAAAGATGTTATTTAGTCTCTTCTAACTTTATATCATTAAGATGAATTAAAGTAAAATTCCACTTATCAATTTGCTATAACAATATCTTGAAGTATTTTTTTTTGAATTTGAGAGAAAAAAGAAAAAAGAATGTGAAAGTATGGTAAGATCACTTTTCTGAAATACAAATAAAATTTTGAGACTAAAATGAAAGTTTTTACTACTTCACACAAAAAAGAATTGAAAATTAAATCTCTAGCAATTATTGAATATGTATAATCATTATAAATCTTTTAATAAAGCAAGCATAAGATACTAAGATAATATTATCTAGTTTTAATAGTAATTTTTGAAGCAGAAAGATTGCTATATTTAACTAGTTATTTATCTTAGATAGAGGATTTTTGTTATCTCTTATAATAAATATGCAGAAAAATTCAAATCAAAAATTAATATTTAATATTCTGTCTTTTCATAATATCTGCTCAGGTATATAAGTATCATTATTTAATAATAAGCCAAAAAAAATTAGATAATATATATAATAAATAAATTAGCTATACATATCTGAATATAAACTTATAAGTAAATAGGATTTTTATATTATATAATTTAGATTAAGATAAATTTTAGATAAGTATTTTTAATATATAAGATACATATTCAATAATTATTTTTATATTGCCTAATTTAGATATCAATAAAAATAATACTTCAAGATATCAAAAAGTAATACTCTAAAGTTTCAAAATAATAATACTTTAGATTTTATTTTCTAATTATAAATAGTGTTTATATTTTTTGATATACATTTGATAATGATATCCTAAAATTCTTGATATAGTATTATTCTAAAGTTTTCTATAATATTATCTCAAAGTTTTTGATATAATATTATTTTAAAGTTTTCTATAGCATTATCTCAAAGTTTTTAATATAATGATATTTCAAAATACATAAAAAAATATGATTTAGATATTAGTATAAGCTAGTTAAAGACTAAAAAAAGATATTATTTCAAGATATAATTATTATAGAAATATAGATATACATAAGATTATACTTTGGGATTATATATAAATAGGTATTGAAAAAAAGTGACACTCTAAAATATAATTATTACAGAAAGATATATAATATATAAAATTATGCTTTGAGATATCAACAGATATATAATAATTCAGTACTATATGTCTTATTCTTAGATGATATTTAAATGAATTATACAAAGTTAATAACTGTTAATAATTTGACATTACATGTCTCATTCTTGATTAATATTTAAGTGTATTATAATAGTTAGTAATTCAGCACTATATATCTCATTCTTAGGTGATATTTGAATAAATTATGTGAAGCTAATAATTATTAATAATTTGGCACTATATACTTCATTATTGGATACTTTGATGAGATATCAAATAGGAATAATAATTTGGTATTACATATCTTATTCTTGGATAATATAATAGATAACAATTCAGAACTATATGCCTCATAATCAGATGCTTTGGTATATTATCAGATATGTATATTAATGATTCAGCACTATGTATCTCATCCTCTATTAATATTTGAGTACAATATACAAAACTAGAATATAAATACTGCTTCAATACTACATGTCTCAAATCTGATCCTTATTAAGGAATTAATCAGAAAGCTAGGGCACTATATGTCCAGTTCAGACATAGCACATTAGGTCCATAAATGATGATATATAATTGGATACATCATTAGATATATATTTTTTTGCCTATATGACCCAGCAACAAAAATTGGCCATGACTACTAAGCTGACATATATTATATTGCATGTGATCTGATAATATAAATCAGTCATAATCATCATATTTTTATAGGTTATGGAATATCCAAGTGTGATGACATGAATATAAATTCATTGTCATATTTTTTATAGATTGTGGAATATTCAAGTATAACAACAGACTTGTAATTTAATCATCACTTGAATGATGATACACATATGACTCCATTGTCACAAATGAGACTGTAATAGTCTAATCTAAGTTATTTGGAGTTTATATAAACTCTAAATGACTTAAGCAAATGTTGTTAATAGTAGGTAGTAGGCTGAAGTGACTTATTATTTGATTAATTATTTATCCTCAAAGATTAAAAAGTCAATTATTCTTTATTAAGTTTTAAGTTTTAATAGCTCCATTTATATACAATAGCGGTCAAAAGTATCTGACCCCCTGTAACTTTTTAAATTAAAGATTAATTGTCTTGAAATTTTCAGTATAGATAATATAATATAAATGTAGATCCCATGAGTTTTTTTAATAATTTTAAAACCAATTTTTCACACTAATAAAAAAATATCGATTAAATGCAATAAAGAATAATTGTATTAATAAATTTTAAATTAAAATTTAATATATTAAATTTTAAGCATTTTTATATTAGTAACAAAAAATTTGACTAATTTAATAAGAAAGATATTGAGGAATTAAAATTAAAATTTATTAAATTTTATTATATATGTATATAAAAAAATAATTTAATACCAAAATTTAAAATTTAATTTTCAACAACTTGATTATTAAATTATATTGAATTTTTTTTATTATATTTAATATAAAGATATATATTTTAATACAGCAAATTTTAATTATTTTAAAAGTTAAAACAACAAATTTTTAGTATAAAAAGTTATGAGGGGTCGGCTACCTTTGACCGCTACTGTACATTTTTTTATCGTTTAACTATTCTTGAGTTGCATTATTAAAGTTTCTTCACATGGATTCTATTGTTTTACTCGAATTCGTAACAATAAAGAAAAATAAAAAAATGAATTAGGCAAAGAAAAAGGGAGATTTTATGATAGAGCTTCAGCGTGAAATCGAATTTTCGATCATATATCGCTTTTTATTTTCGAGTCCAAAAATTATGGGCGATCTTCCAATTTTATCAAAATATTGGTCATTATCTGAATCGGGTATTACCCGATTCAGATATAGACCAGTAGGCTGTTAAAAGTTCAACTAGGTTCTGTTTCGACTTCAGGAGTCAAGTCTAAACCAGATCTAGCCGCTTGTTTAATCATTTTGACACATTATACATGTACATGTATTATTAATCATATACAACAACATTGATGACGACGATGGTTGACACAAGGATATTTACGTCTCCAAAAAATGTTTTTTTATTACTGTTATTATTTTTAATCAAAAATAATGGAAGGAATAATTAAACGTGAAGATATTTATTGAATCAACTTTTATCTATTCTAATATTCCCATCTCTAACCAATTCTTTAAGCACAACAATGCTCTCGTCATCTGCTCAAGAAGATGATTCCTTGTGAGATCAATAGTATGTGTTGACACAGAAAAAAAATGTTCACGAGGATCGCTTGTAGTCTGGCGCGCAAAATAACCTGCAGCCATAAGAGCTACAGTTAGAAAATGAGATGTATTTGTTTTTCATCACAATAATGGATTGATCTTCAGTTCAGGAGGTAGAGAAAGATAAGTGCCCAGTTCATTTATTATTTCACATTCTTTCCTTCTATTTGTTTATACACGTTTTCGAAAAATATCTAATGCATCTTCTGGTTACGCGTAACCACTACTTTATCTATTTGATAGAAAGAATAATTTACTTTCAGATAACTAATTGACATTCATCTTCTTTGAAGATTTCAAACTTAGTTGATGGATTGAAAAGAGCAGAGATAATGGAAGATTAGTTTAAAAATTTGTTAATTTACTTTTTATTTCTTTAGTTACTTCTTGATATATATTAATCTGAGTATAGTGATCAAGATGTGCAAGAGACTTTGAATGATTAATCATAAGAATTCATAAGAGAATTTTGAGATATCTGACAAGATCAAAGTTGCTATTTAAAAGATTGAAGATGTCATATTATATTCTAAAATAAGATATATTAATATATTTTAATTTATTTATCTTGCAAATATAAGTTTTCTTTGATTATTTTTCAGTTATCAATTTTAGAATAATATTCTTTTTTAAATCTGAACATGACTATACAAGATTATTAATAATATTTCAAACTTTAATAAATCATTTTAATATTAAGTAGATGAAATTTCATTTTGAATTAATATTAAGTTTAGGATAAAGAAAGAAATAATTTAGAATGATAAAGATTCTTTTTCAGAAGCAAAGTTCTTGCTATAAAGATAATATATCTTTTTAATTTAATTAATATAATTTTTTTTAATTATAAGATTTATAATAAATATAGCATAATATATATATAACTTTTGAAGATAACATAAATAAATTTGATTATTTATTATATTATCTTTAATAAAATTAATTATTTATTCTTAATTTTCAAATTTTTAACAAGTTTAATAATCTTTTTTCAAGATATTTTTTATTATATAAATTATACAAGAGAATAAAGTCAAAAAGAAAAGTTTTTATTATTTTTTTTTTAATATTAATCTAATAAATAATAATTTTAAGAAAAATTATTAGATATATTTAGTTTAAATATTTAAATAAGTACTAATCTACTTTAATTAATCTTTAAAATTTCTTTTATTTTTATTATTAAATTACTTTTTTTATTATAGAAAGTGTTTAATAACAAGAAATTTTATAATATAAATCAAAATTAAAGATTAATTTGATAAAGAATTTTTTAGTTATTTAAAAAAATTACTAATTAATAATAATTTATTATAAGAAATTTTTATTTAAAAATTCAATATAATTTTATTAGTAACTAAATATAAGAAGAATAATTAGATTTTAAAATATAATAAAAATACAAAATATATATATTTTTTTATTTTGAAAAACTTATTTATAAAATTATTATTAATTTGAAAATATTATTTTTATTATAAAGTTTCAAATTATATTTTCTATTTTAAATATAAAAAATTTATTATTCTGAATCTAAATAATATATTGAATTATTATATTTCAAATATTTTCAAGAATATTTTAAAAAATTAAATTTATAATTCTGAAAAATTAAATATTTAATTTTATAATTAAAATAAGTTATATTTTTAATTATATTTTGTTATTTACTTGTGATAGTTTTTTAACAAACTTTCAAAATTTAAATTAATATATAAAATAATAATATAATAAGATTACAAAAAAATTTGCATTATATATTAATATATAATTATATAAAAATATTAAAAAAATTATTAATAATATATATTAAATATTAAAATTTTTATTAAGTCAAATTTATTAATATAATATTTATTATAAGGTCGATCATGAATATGTTAAATCCGAATTGAAGCGCTAGTTGAAACCCCAATAAACCAAAATTGATTCCAGTAACAAATATTCTCGATGCATCGAATCTACTAAATAAACAGAATTTTTTACTAATAGCACCGACCGACCGCTTAACTTCAATTCCTTAACTTCGGATGATGTACAGTGGTGTGCAAAATAAATGACAATTAATTTTTTGATTATAACGAATTGAATAATTATTCAAATAATATAAGCATTTATATATATTCGTTAATATCTAGAGAACAAGTTTACTTAAGACCATAAAATAAACAGTCTTGATAAAATTTTTTCATAATTTGCATTTTATATTAAAAAAATCAGCTTGCAAAATCAATTACAAAAATTTTTAAAAATTAGTTTTTAATAAGTTATTACATAATTAAATTTTAAAAAAATTTGGTTATTATATTTTAAAGAAGATATCATATAATTTAAATTATTTTTTTTGGCTATGCATTTATAAAATATTTTACTAATATTTTTTATTATATAATTATAAGTAAACTTTGTTTTTTAAAGAATATATATACAAATATTTATATTATTTGAATAATTATTTAATTACATTTGATCAAAAGACTAATTGCAATTTTTTTGTCATTTATTTTGCACACCACTGTATGTCACAAGAATTCGTTTCTCGTTCATAAATAATATGGTAGTCAAACTTAGTAATGAATTAGCTGAAAATATGGCGATGGGAAATCTGCGATACAATTTTTTCCGTGGTTGAAAATTTAAACGACGATCAACAAAAAATGCAAAAATAGTAATAATATACCGTCGCCTGTAGGATTCGAACCTACGCTCCCAAAGGGAAATGGCTTAGCAGGCCACCGCGTTAACCACTCCGCCAAAGCGACTTGACTGATTGATAAAATTGATTTTGTTAATTATTAAAACCCTATCCTATTGCAAGAACAGCAACTAAATACTTATCGATAAAATGGTTTATTATCTTTTATCGGAATGACAACATGCAAGAAGAATATGCATAATCAATAAATTATCCAGAAATGTTTATGAAAAACCTTTAGCACCCTTTATAAACTAACGCTAAATTAAATTCAATCCAATTAACGTGGATCATTTTGACATCTAACTATTACACGTAAGGAAATTTCAAAATTGCGGAGTACGTAATGATAAAAAGACTAAATAAAACCTCATTGACAATGAAGCGTATGAAATCAAATGACAGCAACTTCCTTTTAATCAAAAGCAAAAAAAATATTCTTTTTGGTTACAATAATTCAAAGGATGTATTTCATTATCTGATTAATCGTAGTCTTTGATAGATGCGCATTTATAGGAACCGCATAAATGAAGAGCATCAGACGACAACGTACAAGGTTGTAAAACCCAGCTGACACCCCGAGATTACAATGAAATCAGGTTCATTGGGCCGAGACGAAATTCGTATCAAGGTTTGAACAGAGAATGTGATTTGACATTTGCTATCAAAGACTCCTTTGCACATGCAATTCTTTATTCTCGATTTTGAGCTTTTATCAGTTCCCCCATTAAATTACGAAAATGCCTTACAAAGACATAAAGAAAAGTGCCAGAAACAGTAATGGTTTGTTTTTGTCGTGTATCACTTGAATGGTATATTTTTTGCGTGACTTTGCAAAGAGTTATCTATCTTTCTTCTTTGTGTTGTTCATCTGACAGAAAAGACGGTTGTGTCGCCGGCATCACAGGAAAACTTTAAAAATTTTCTTGAATAAATTCGAAAAGTAAATGATCTTTTCGGATAATTTCATTCTCAGTTACCTTAAAAAACGCCAGTCATTCGTATCTCTTAATAAAATCAAAATCAAAATCATAGTAATCTTGCATGCTGTATGTATCCACTCACACACACAAATCCATCGTCATCACATCCTGCAAGTGTCCATTTTCTCTAATCATTTCAAAAGCAGTGTTCACATTCCGATGCATGAAATGTTAACCAGCTAAGACAGCGAGACCAATATCCTACCATCTACAATGCATCAGGTCATGCATAGAGAATAAGAACATTATCATACATTGGCTATCAAATCTTGTCAGAAGAGGAAAAGATGTATCCATGTAGTCACCAATCATTTAATACCACGAAAATTTTTCAATGCAAAATTTTCATATGCTACTAAAATCTAAACCGTATTTAGTCACAAGGCAACGACGAATCAAAATAGAATCATTTGATCCTAGAGAAGAGCTTTCCCCATCCTTCGATATACTCACCAAATTTGACGGAACTCTCCGTTCCCGAGAAAACTTTAGTGACCGTGTAATAGAGTATGTGTACAATGTTGTCTTACTTTATATCAAATGCAATGCACGCCATACGAGAATGAATAGCAATGACGGGTTTTCTCCTGATATTACTCTTCTTTTGCATGTTACGTTTTACATTGTTAAAATTTTGAATTTCCATAGTTATTTTTATTTACAATTGTATAATTATTAAAATACCAGAAATCACATACCTTGCATCGCTAAACCTCTGTTATTTACTAATCCGAATATTTCTTACAGTTAATAATAATTAGAAAAAAAACAAACAAAAAAAAAGATTGGCGGGATTGACAACAAACCTAACGTTAATGTAATAAAATATTAAGACACCAAATTTATCGATATATACAACGACAAAATTATAATTATGCACACAAGACGCCAAAATAAGGGGGAAGAGATAAGGGTGAACGGAAGAAAGTGAGAAGGGGTTCAACACGAAACTTTTCATTACGAGTAAGTCAATTTGATGTTGTGATTTTTCCTAATCGACTATATTATTCTATGTAAT